TCAGTAAGTTACGAGCAATATTCTCACCATCATTCAACTAATAGAAAATCTCATATCGGCGGTCTACTGTGACACGTCTTTTGCTATTACATTAGGAGTTTGTCCGTATGTTTTGTACTCCCCAGGAACTACATCGAAAAAGTCTTCGCTAAGAAAACTCCTATTTCATTTGTATACTTAAGATATGGTGATATTTTTATATTCTTTTTTCCTCTATGGTCATTTCAAGTCTCTAAAGGTGTCATTACAACATCGAATTAAAACGGACTGCTCTCCGGTGCGCCGTTAGGTCATAAAAGGTCACCATTTTTCGTGTGTTGTGTTTACCACTTTCCCATTTCAAATGCTGGAGAAACTGCCAAAAATTAACCAAATGTCTTAAAATTTTTTCAAAGACTACGAAATTGATTATAGAATTGAATTAGGATCATTTTAATCCAAATCTCATGTATTTAAAACTTTTATTTTGAATTCAAACTTGTGTATTCTTTAATAAAACCTTGGTTTTTTGACCGTGCGCCGTAGGACAATACCCCATGCACATTCAGGCATAATACAATCTTTATTTTTGCCTATATTTTATCAAAAAGATTATCATGCACTTAAATATGATAAATAAACATTTAGTGAAATTTTTAGCTTAATGTGCCCATTACTTTTCGAGAAAAACGCTTTGTCCACGATTTTACGGGACAACCCTTGTATTATGGCTTAACAGTTTAATTTATGAAAAAAAAACAGTGATCGATTTAATGATCAATTGTATCTGCTGACAAGGCCACTGTACCCACTACAGAATCCATGAAACGCTGCATTCAATGGAGAGGGACGCCTACATCCTTGTTTCATCAACTTTTTCATTAATTCCTTTTTTAGAAATTGATATGACGTTGACAGTTGTCTTGCAAATCAAATCAATTTGGTGAGAAAAACTTTGCATGCAGATGATTATGGCATATTGCTTCAAAATTGAGGGAAGTTGAAATTTGTTTACTGTTACCGAATTAATCTGGGAGCAAATGAATAATACTTATCATTACAATTTCGTCTGAATGTTATTTTTCTGCCTCACGTAAGTACAGAAGAGGCTTGCTAAAATAGAAACGAATCCGGTACCCATTGAAATACATAACTTTCAAAATTTATTGTACAATTTTTCTTATTTCCACCCTTAACTCTGCCAATATTTTGATGAGAAAAGAAAATATTTGTAAAAACATTTACTTTTGACCAAATATGTAAAGCTGAATCTTTTTCATAATACCTTTTATGTAGTTTAGGAATCCGGTATAGATTTTACTTCAAACACAATTACAGCTCGTTGAAAGTTAAAAAAAGAAAAGACATTTCGATATTGTTTCTTAAATTCGTAAATGGGGACAAGCATGTTTAAGACTTATAAACTATTTTTTTTTCTTTTTCTCATCTCTGAATAACCAAAGAAAAAGGAGTATATGACTTTCTTATGGACATTTTATCGTTAAATGCAAATTCCAGAATAACAATTTACATAAAAAAAATTCATATTGAAGAAAATGGGGCATATTTTTAAACTTCACTGCTACACTTTTTATCCTCTTTTTGAAATTGATCGAAAAAGTCTACAGCCTATCAAGTTTGTTTTGAAAGTGCGTATTAGTTTGAAGAAAACTTTTTTACTTTTTTAATGAAACCGATGATTAAGCAACAAAATTTTATTGTTTCGTAACCTTGGTTGTACAAAATTTTAGATAAACATGATACAAAGATGAAATGAAGAGCATGATGATAACGAACAATAACGATCTAAAAACATCTATAGACAATGTACATATTAAAAAAAAAACAAATAATATATAAGAGCAAGATATGGTTTCAAACAAATGTTGTGCTGTATTTTATGCCTTCTTATGAGAAATATCAGCAATAAAATAGAAATGCAGTTATGTCTATTATGTCATTTAATTGAATGACATGAAGTAAAATGTATAATAAATCATTAAGGGGGGATCACCTAATATTAAACAATACTAGATACATGTACGACATATGTGAAAGGTTTTAGTGTGTTCCCCCTGAGACTGACTAGAAATTTTAATGCAGTGAAAAATATCAGATTACATGTAAATATGCATAAAATATGACATAAATGACTTAATCCTTGGAGGCGTCCAAACAATTGCTCCAGACCATGTACGCAGACCCCCTTTTCCACAAACAGTTATTTCATTACTTTTTTCCACCGCACTACCAGGCTAACAATAATGATGCAACAAAAACAAGGATTTTGATTGGGTTAAAGTCAGTAAAAAGTGCGATAACTCTTTAAAAAACCAAATGTTGCAATTTCGCATTGAAAGGTTATATGCATGTAATAATTGCGTCTGCGATAAAAGTGCATATGAGACAGACTGAGCAGGGTTGTGCAGATTATCTGAAGGTGTAAAAATTTACAATTCTCATAGCCGCCTAAATTAAATTATATGTGATAATATTGTTTTGTTTCTAAAATCTAAAATTCAGAAGTGACAAAATAAACTAAAATTCATCCTTTCTGAATAATTTATATTTCATGCAGTAGAAACACTCAAATGGTTTTTCCGATATGACCTTCAAAATGCTAATTGTGACGTCATGAACTTGTGCATCCCCCGCCCGTAAAAAAATAGTGGAATTTCATCAAAAGTGCCTGCATCGCCCAGTAAGATTTTGAGATGTTATTTTTGAAAGTATTTTAAGCAAATATTTAAAATTTGGCGACGGTGGCAGACACTATTTTAAGTAAAAGTAAGCAAAGAAATGAGTCATTTTGAGGCTAATTTGCATAAAATATAAAACTGCACCAAATTAATGACTGATTAAGCATAATCATTTACTCAACTCGTTAGAGCCAATTTCATAAATTTTCAAAAGCATAATTTTTTTAGGGCAAAATAAAACGGAAATCATACCTTCTTTTTACTAATCCAAGGCTAAAGGTTGCATAAGATAGCATATAAAGTATACTTTCTCAACCGGTCAGACCTGCTGTGAGCCGTATATATTGATAATTCATCAGTAGAGAAACATTAGGTAACATATAATTAACCAAAGCTTAAGGATTGGAAATGTCTATCATATTTTATTCCTTTTTTTAAAGTGTGATATTTGCCAGTATAGAGAAAATTACTTACAGCATGTTCATAAATACTTATATACGGTAATCACAGTGTAAATGAATACTTCTTGAAATGACAGTTTTACAGTGTACAATGAAAATAACTTAATTACTTCTACAGTTACTTAAACTTTTAAAAAAGTCATTTACAAAGTTCATGCAATATCAATTATTTAGAAATTAAAATGTTCTGGTTTCACTTATGAACTATTTCTCAATCTTTAAATTATCCCACCTACTCTTTAGTTATGTAAACGTATTTTTTTTTACCAGAAATGACTATTTTGGTAGCATAGATGGAAAGTTTGAAAATCTGCTGTTTTTTTATTCGAAGCTAGAATCATTGCCTTATTAAAAAAAATCCAATAAAGTTGATGAATTGACATTAATAAAAAAAAATTTCAAACTAGAGCAAAGCTCGTTGCAAAGCAACGAGTAGGTCTTCTGTCCTGTTTTGACCGGAAGTGACGTCAACAAAAAAAGCAATGAGCTAAGTCCTCTCCAGTAACTTGAAAAAATGTCAATTTTGCATTAAAACCTTAAAAAATAAGCTATTTTGGGCTACTTCCGGTTTGACCGGAAGTGATGTCGAGTCGCCGACGGAGAGAAAATTAAGTTTTATGCTTCCAGTGACATATGTTACCCAAAAACTTGTCAAGAACGGCAAAAATATGCATTTTCTGACGACTTCCGGTTTCACCGGAAGTGACGTCGCCAGACGCATTTTGACGACTTCAATAGATTAAGCTTGACATTTTGAACAACTTTGCTTCTTAGACGCATTTCAAATTCTCAATACTTTTTGAGATATCAGGAAAAAACTTTTGGCCCCTCTAGATCCCTTAATTTAGGGGTCAGCCCTTTTTTCGAGATATCATTTAAACGATCTTGTATTTCTGCTGTTTAATGTTTGTTGCTGTTTGTTCTATATATTTTAACAAAATATTTTTAGTTTAGAAGATAAAAAGCAAAATATGAGTCATTTTTGGCTATTATAAGCGTTCTAATATTTTACTTCTAAATAGCGCCATTTTGAATAGAGAAATTGAAAAACAAAAACTGATGTGCATAACGTCAATCCTTCTATTATCTAAAATTAGTAGAATTTCAGCTCCGGCTTAATTAAGCCATCTCTGAGCCTTTGTCTGGAAATGAAAGCCTATAAAATTTCGTTTAAAGGGAAATAACTCAAAACAGGAAGTGACTTTGTGAAATTTTAGAAGGATTCTGATAGAGTTTAGTAACTTCTACTACCTCTGAAAATTTGAGCGAAATAAATTGAGAAATGAGTGAGATATGAGGCTTCAAAGTTGGCGTCTAGGAAGTAGAAGAAAAAAAAGAATAATAATCTTTACCAACAGAATCAGTGGAAGGTCTTCCGTTGGAAACGGAAGACCTTAATAAGAACATCAAATTTAACACATGTTTAATTATACTGAAAGACAGTTATTACAAACATTAAATTGGGTGCCTGGATTGGAATACATTTTTTGGGCCTTTTTTGTAAATGGTGCACCTTATAAATTTCCAAAATATTGATATATTGTAAATAATTATATACTTGCATTTTTGTGAATCATTGAGTGAAAAATTAAAACCTAGGTTCTTAAACTTCTTCATTCAATATATTTACTCATTGAAATATATGCCTCAGTTTGTTATTTCCAATTTTGATGACAAAAGTTCTTTGTATCATCTAAGCTTAAAACGTTTATCATGTTCAATGCCATTTTTCTTGTAGATACTAGATTGTTTATATATCTTGAAATTAGAATTTAAGAATTCTACTTTGTGTTTTGCAAAAAGCTTTTTCTTCTACGAATATTTAACTATTTTGTCTATGCACTTCTTTAAAGGCAACAGATTTTTGCTAATGGATATGAATTGTGTCTTTTCACTATCTTTTATTTGAATAGTAATCACCAACCGGTTCTTGGAAATCATAATCATTATTCTCAGAAACAGAAATATCATGACTTTCATTTCTTCTTCCCGTATTGAGATAACTGTAGTCGCTTTCTTCCATCAATTTATTGGGATTTCCATGGGCGTGGTCGTAGGTTTCATCAACGTCAGGACCCGCGTCTTTTTCATGCAGATGGCTGTATACGTCATCATTTACGTCATTATGCATCATCGACCGTGTTTTGCTTTCTTGAATGTTTTTCTTTGTTGTCAAGCCGATGGAATTAGCAAATGGTGAAACGTTCACAGTCTTTTTCTGAAACCGAAATGTTTTAAAGAGTTCCATTTCATTTATATATCATCTTGAAGAATTAAAACATCATATTCCATAGAGTAGTTTCACGTCATTCATTCGATAGTCTGATTAGTAAATGATATTGCTATTTAGTAATTCAAAGAAATCTTGAACATTTTATTATTATTTATTTTAATTTAGCTTTAGCCAATTTCTTTATCTGTTGAATGTGATCATCATTAAAAGAGAGCTTAATCATTCTTTCAATGAAAAGAAGTTCAGTGCCAACCAGATCCTAGAACAAAAATGAAAAGAGACATTATGTATAGACAATTCTGCAAACGCATAACTTGTAGCCTGCACGTGCAAACCCACTTTGTTTAATCTGTCAAAGCTCACATCTCATGATTTATAATTTTTTCTACCAATACAACCAATTAATTTTTATAAAAGGAAACTTGCGATCTTAGCATATATTTCACATATACTAGTATCTATCTCCTTCCCAAGAGAAGTAGATCATGAAAAAATACAATTCTAAATGATGATTACTTTTACTTTAAATAGTACATCATTCGCATTTTGCAAATGATCTCTTGAATAATTAATGTTCTGTTGTGCACAAAATTACCGGTATGAGCCTAATCCATTTTATAGAAGATATCAGTTTCTTTCATATAATAGGGAAAAAATACCATAATACATGTATGCATCTGTATATTATACACATTATGTTCTCATGTTTAAATGTTATGCATTAATCACAATGGAGTGAACTGAATTGATATGTTGTCTATATTTCTTTAAAGTTACCTCATTTGTTCGGTGAATGCCAGGAATACTCTGGTCTGCATCTATTTCAGCTTCATGAGAAGTGTTGTTATACAAAGCAACCTTCGAGCATTCTCTATTTAACATTAAAAATACTTTATTGTATACTGAAATACAACGAGTACAAAATGAAACACAGAATTTGAATGAAGATATTAAACATTCGTACTTCTCTTTATTTTTCCCACGTCGTAAATAAAGAAAGATTGTCAAAGCGATCACCGTCAGAGCAACACCGAGAATAAGGCCACCAAAAACCGATCCAGCTGTTAAGCCGGCTATGTTATTTTCTGTAATTATATAATACGTAATAGATTATAATATGTTTGGTTACTCTTTTGAAGTAATACAAAACAAAAAATTAAGTTCAGTTGAGTGTTTTTAAAATCAACTAGTAGAAAACTTCTGAGTTTAGCTGTAGTTTGCACCCAACCCTGTACGACCTACTGTATGTCATTTATGCGACTAATTATCTTTTGAGTTCTACTTATTATCTCAAAATTACGAGTTATGCCATTTGTACAATTTAATTTCGTGTCGATATGATTTATTATCTCACACGTTCAACATAGCAGCTGGCAGCAATACGTTTCTTTAAAAGACATTAAAAAAAAATAAATATATTTACAAAAAATCAAGTAAAACTCATAGAGATTATTTTTTTCTAGAGAGAGTTTACTGACCAATTTGCATCTAATCTTACCTCTTATGTTTGCAAGCCCATGTTTGCTTTGCTCCAATTTTGTATTTTAAAGGACTTTTCAGCTAATTTTTTAATACTGTTTGTTGTCTCTATTTTGTCATTGATCCCAAAACTATAGGTACAAATATAATATTAAATATTTCAGTACCTTTCAGATCCTGGAAACGTGCTTGTAAATTACCGTCTATGGATGCTGCAAACATACCAAAATCTTAAAAATGTCACACTTTCAACATAAAATAACAAAAAAAAACTTTCAACAAGATTAAAACAATGACATGTATAGAATAATAAAATCAGTTTTCATAAAGCCCTTTCAAATACTGAAATTGTTTTTTTTTACTATGAATCTTCAAAGAAATATATTTTTATACTCAATCATTATCTAAATTATAAAATTCGACAAAATTATACCAACAACAAAAATTAACATTCCTCAATTCAAGCTTTTTTATGTTTTATTAGATATATAAATATGCTACCAAGTTTAAAAAAATTACACAAAACGCATTCTGTATCATTCAGTTGAACATATCCTTGAGTACAGACACAGGTCTCGTTGTGACAAATAGAACCAAACACATTGGAACATTGTTCACTGCGCTGACACGTTTCATTTAGTTTCAAATTTCCTGATCAAAGAAGAAAAGCATGTATGAAATATAAAAAAAAATCGGTAAAAATCTGGTTATCTGGCAAAATTGGTAGCTTGGGGAATCAAGACAAGATTTCAATTTCTTATGAATTATTTGAATTACTTAGAGGGGAAGTACAAACGAAAAACACCTAGTATACAAGACCTGTCCTTTTAACAGCATATTACGCCACCCAAAAAGAGATAACTTGTTCTTGCCAACTCAAAGACCATATGAATTTTTGTAATCTTTAAGGTACAATGTACATGTGAATATATTACAAAAGGAACCAGCTGCAGTTTTAAAAGGGCGTGAATTCAAAGTTGACTAAAAAATTTTGAATAACGTCAATAGTTTTTCATTTTTTCAGATGATACAATATAGAAGGCTTGAGCAGTGAGCGATCTTACCGGGACATACGAAAGACAAATGCCATTTTTATTAGTGCTGGGCAATTGACAATGTACATGACACTAGCTACAGCACATTGTATGATCATGTCTTACATGTAGGTTTGACATAGGAACGGAAATCGAACCTGAACCTTCCGATCACGAAGTGATCACCCTACTACCACTACCGTAGAAGGAAGATTTGAACAATTTATAGACTCAATTTTGTTTAAATTCAGTTTTCAACTATGACCACAACTCGGGGTTTTCATGTTATTGCCTGGCAAAAAAACAATTCTGTCTCAAATTAAGCTGAATATTTATAATTTTGATATATTTGAGCAAAATATTTCCCATATTTTATTCAACTGTGATGTATGCATGACCCCATTTACATGTCACTCAAAGGTTAAGGGTATAGATTGTATACTTGCATATTTAACAAATAATATTTGCGGATAAGACTTAAATGTGAAATTATTTTGAATAAATGCCTAAATTCAAAAAACAAACCCTTTTATATAACGCTTAAGTGATATTAACTTTAAATCATTATGATTGATTGATTGATTGCATATTGTTTAACGTCCCTCCCGAGAATTTTTCACTTATGTGGAGACGTCTCCGTATGCCAGACCTTTTTTCGGCACTTAGGGCAATTGAGCACTGAGAAATCTTTATTATGCTAACACTTGTCGCTGACACGGGGCCTTGGTTTTTAAGATCTCATCCGAAGGACTCGTAACTTTCACTTCAAAGTGACGAGTGCATGGCAAAGGAACAATTGCTATTTTATACCCATTTTTTTATCGACTTAGGTCAGTCGCGGCCGAGATACGAACTCACGACCTCCCGATCACGGAGCGAGTGCTCTACCGACTGAGCTACCTAGAACGGTCATTATGAATTAAGTTATACGCTAGGAATTTAGGGGGATCCCCTACTAGTCGTACCTATACATGTACACGTATCAAACCCCTATTTTTTTTTTTTTACAAATTCTATCGTGTATTAGAAGTACATATCAATGAGCCACATAGATCAATGTTCCAATATATTGAGTCGCTTTTAAAGGACATCAACTTTTTTATTTACCCTTTAAACATGTGTTTCCAAATCCTATATAACCAGGATTGCAAACACACTCGCCGATTTTTCCTGTTAACATACACCGCTTGGATACATCTTTACACTCCTTAGTCGATGTACACAAGTTTTCCGAGATGTCTGCTGTAAAAATAAATGAATTCAACTGTACTTGATTTATCTTTTTTCAAGAATGTAATTTTTGATTTTCAAAAAAATCGATAAAAGTTGAAATATTTTATGTAAATGAACAACAGTTAGTTGTGAAGATTTTCAGTGTGTAAAATTCTGTAAAATTGACTTTTGATTGATTGAATGTTGATTCTCGTACCTGTAAATTGAATTATCCATCGATTTATGAGTATATTTAAATTAAATTAACCTACACAAGAAGCATTCCGAATTATTAAGCGAACCATATCCTGGTCTACAAACACATCTTCCATCCTGACAAACAGAGCCAAAAGCTACAGAACACTGCTCATTTTGCTTGCACGTTTCATTCAGTTTTAAATTGCCTGAAAACAGTAAATGATACAACATATAATAATTGTGGATCATAAGACATTAATCGTAAAAAAATATTATAAGTAAAATCTTTAAAAGAAAAAAAAAACTTTCAAACAATGCTTAAGTATAAAGACTTTAAGGTGTTTCTACCCTCACAATTTCAATGGTTCAAAATACAAAACTGCACTTATTTTCATCTAAGATAATTATAATTTTCCAATTATTGCAAAAATATAGGGCACTGTATTATTTAAGAAGATAAACATAAATAAATAGAAGTGTATGTCAACATAAAAAAAATCGCACATTTTTTGTTTACAGTACATGTATTATAAAAAATATGTAAAAACTGGTGTAAATGCATTATTCTGATGCTTAATGTTCCTAAATGCTTATAAGATACTTTTGAATTGTAAATGTACAATAAAGCAAATGCCTGAATGAAGACACCTTAGGAGGAGTTATTGCCCTTGTAAACATTTTTCAAAGATTGAATTATTGATTAAATAAAGAAAATATGCATTTTTTAAATTCTTTTACTTAACAATATATGTCATTACATCTATTATAAAGCATTCTTCCAAAAGATATTGTTCTATTAGGTATGAATTTAAACTAATTATTACAGTCTTTGCAAAAACCTATGACATCATAGGAGCGTGGAATTACGTTAAATCATAATGTATAAATTCACCCATTTAAGATGAAAGAAACTTTTCGTACAATAGGTTTTCGATACATTCTGTCATGTATTTGAAGTGCATGACAATGATTCACATTGATCAATATATTCATATATTGAAAACCCTTTTCAGGGACATCAACTTTTCTATTTAGTATAAACAAATAGATGCTATTATTTACCCTTTAAACACGTGTTTCCGAATCCTATATACCCGGGATTGCAAACACACTCGCCGATTTGTCCTGTTAACTTACACGTCTTAGATACATCTTTACACACCTTTGTCGATGTACATAAATCTTCCGAGATGTCTGCTGCAAAAAGAAATGAATTCAACTGAACATGATCAATTTATCACTATATATGTAACTTGATTTTCAAAAATAAAAAAAAATCTATATCATTAAAAATATTCCATCTAAAAAACAACAATTAATTGTACAGATATTCAGTGTGTTAAATTTTGTAACATTGATTTTTTGATTGATTGTTGTCTAAGTAAATAATTTATCATTAAATTATTTGTCGATTAAAATTTACCTACACAAAAAGCATTCCGTATCATTAAATGGAGAATATCCTGGTCTACAAACACATGTACCATCCAGACAAACAGAACCAAAAACTACAGAACACTGTTCATTTCGCTTGCACTTTTCATTCAATTTTAAATTTCCTGAAAATAGTATTTGTTCCAAAACGTTTATAAATATTATATATATGAAAACATTCTGATAAAATCAGTTCCTAGTGTAACATTAATATATCAGGGGAAATGTATTAAATTTTGTGAGTACTTACTTTTGTTACAATACAGTACTTTAAATATTTCTACATGTTAATTTTTTTTATTATTATTGTTTTACTCATTGATTGCCCCTCTTTTGCCAAATGCCTGGGCGCATGTTGATTTCCAAAACACGACTGAATAGGCCCTTGCATGCAAAACAAAATACCAAACAAATAAACAAACAAAATCATAATCAAGTCCATGGAATGGATCTATTCATATATATTTTTACCCCTTAAACATTCGCTTCCGAATCCTAAATACCCAGGTCTGCACACGCAGACTCCAATAAGCCCCGTCAATAAGCATGTCTTTGTTTGGTCTTCACAATCCATATCTATCGTACATAAATCTGCTAAAAGAAATATATAACACATGAATAACGCTCACCTAAAGAAACATTTACTCTGACATATTTCAAAAAAAAAAAATCTTACATGAATTTTTCACTATCTATTGAAAAGAAAAAGATAAGAATGGTTGTTGTGCCGCAAAAGTAACGTCCAGGGGAAAATGTTATACCGCGTTTTAATAATTACGGCAGTTGGATGTATTAATATTATGATCTCAATAATCTGATAAAAAAAGTTAAAGATTCTTCCCGCTGTACACATGCACGCATTAAATTTGATCCCGGACAATTGCTTTGCTTTACCCTTTACAAGAAAACTAAATTCCAACAGTAGAGTTATGATTGTATTTAAATGAAATATTACTAAGAGTTTCTAGCTTAAAATTCCATAGATACAATGCAAATTGGAAATGAAACAAAAACATGTATGAACTTCTAAAACGACAGAGGTGGATCAAGTGTCATGGGTAAGCAAGCATCCCCCGTCAACCGGTCATACCCCATACCCACCTTGTGGTCCTTGATATGAGTGGGTACACGGAAACTCCGTGGAAAATTCAATATGAAAATAATGGCCCAACAATTGGAAAAATAAGCGTCATGCGACGAATAGATTGTGTACTGACAATGTTATGGTAATTGTCTGTAAAATTTCCAAAATGCTTTTGCGTACATAACCAAATGGAAGACATAAATATGCACGTAATCATGGTTTATTGCTTATATATAAGGGAAATGACGATAGAAAAGTTGAAGTAATCATGTTTGTTACAACTCAATGTTATTCCATGTAGGTTACTATTCACGTCTTTTGCTGGTATCCAAATATGAAACAGATGCTTCAGACTTCGTGGTTTCTTTTCATTTTGTGTTTACAGGAATATCTCGAGATAATATACAAGAATGTAAAAATGGTAGTATATATTGTTATTGATAAAAGTTCGCTTTTATATCTGAATGTCGAGTTGAAGACAACAGTAACTTATTTCTTCTCATGCATCAGTTTTGTAAAAAATAAATTATCTCTCATATGATCACAAAAATAGATCTGCAAATAACAGGGTGCAATTGGTACTGATGGAAAATGCTATAGATTCTTTTGAATAGAAACTCATGCTATAATCTGCTTCACATATATTTCAGTATAGTTAATTTATATGTAGGGAATGTCTTTTTTTTAAGAATGGACGTTGATTTGTACATTTCTGCAGGATGTAAGGTTAAACAAATATCTGGTGCTGAAATCCATGTAAATCTTTTGATTAACTGTCCACTCGCAAATTATTCGACTTGATTTGAAGCTGAAGAGCCATCTTGCAAGAATACGTACTCTCGAAAATAAAGAAACTACAGTATCACGATTGATTTAATAATTTTTGAAGGGGCCAAATTTAAAACAACCCCATTGAAACTCCTTTTTCCGAAATTTAAATAATAGGTACATACTGGATTGTCTCAGGTTATATGAAAACAATGAACACAAGAAAATGTGTCGTGACTTGGGATAAAAACCTTACCTTCTCTTTTGCAAGTAATATCCATTGTTGTCTCTTCTACATTATCATAGAAACAGCTTGTAAACGTCGACGTCCATTCCTTGTCTGAACGATTCAAATTAATATTTATTGTTGTCAGTTGGTGCCTTTTCCCCCTTTTCAGGTTATTGATTTTTATATGGCATTTAATGGGACATTCACCCATTCCTAAAAAAAATTGTAGGCATTAAAAAACTGTCTAAAAGCAAAAATACTGTGTTGTTTAAGTAAACGAGTTATTTCACTTATTAAAGAAGACCATTCATAGCATAAATAAAAAATATTAAACATAAATTGTTGTGCTTTCTTAACTTATCATCCTACAAATGAAAACTTTTTTAAAGAAACTTATCAATTTGACATCTAAAGAAAATTGAAGAAGTTTAATTAGCACATGTACAGGTACGTATTGAATTCACATATAAAGTTTGGTGATTGCTTTGTTTGTAAATGGTTTCCTGAGTTACACTTGTAGTATTTTTATTACATCTACTAATAATTTTCCTTATTTTATTAGCTACGGAAACGGTACCGTCTCTATACTTGTGTTCAATAATTGTTTATCTTTTTACTCATTTGTCTTACCAACATGCAGTGTATAATCTTTTATGACGTTTTATTTTCATTTATGTTCTACTGTGTCAGGATATTTCATGTAATTTGAAATGTCTTTATTGTATGCTGAATTTTATTGCCATAACTTATGGCGACTCAAAAGAAATATCGATATGATAAAGATTGATTTAATCATGAGAATTAAAGGTATTGATGTAGTTGGCTCAACACACACTATAAATTATAAACATAATAGTTAAATTGATGTAAATATGTCTGTGGCAATGTTTGCAAAATATTGTTCCCAATAATACTGTATCTTCAAGGGCGCGGGAATTCTAATGAAACGTCTAATCTTCACATATTAAAGAAGACTTGGGGGAGGGAAATGATCAGTTGAATTGTCCTCAGTTAAGCAAATACCAATTCTAATCAAATCATTCTAATTAGTAAGATATGAATCTACTAGGATATGCATTTCTAGTTATAAGTTATTTTTTTCTTATTGATACATTAAAAAAATGAAGTAAAATTTATGTGCAAGCAAAGTCTACATAATAATTATTGCTTAATTAAAATAATATAAATGTAAAGACAGTTGCCATCCGATCTTCCCTGTGTTTCAATATCCCAATAAAACATTTATTATAAGTTCCATTCGCTGATAAAGCAAAAATAGAAAGTACACGTATTAAAAGTGACACTGGCTATGTTCCTTGTGAATATTTGTTCTTGTACCAATCTGCGGTATAGCATAATTAGGATATGTCACATGGACGCTAATCTCCACAGTCTCGAAACCCACAGCTCCACTACCATACTCAAAAAAAAAAAATAAAAAAAGCAGTGTACCATGAAAGAATATATATTACGAATAAAGTGTAACAATCAATACATCAGATAGTTCTTCTTATTGCTTAAAGGGATAAAAAAAAATGTGACTTAAGCCAATCTGTGAAAGTTCAGTCACAAAGTTAAACGGGGAAAAATGTGGTGTCATCTACATAATATATATTTGACAGAAATACAGAGATTTAATTTATCCAATTATGAGCATTCTTTTCTATTTTGAGAATATATTAGATGTTTACTGTACTCAGGTTTTCGAAAAAAGCTGGATGAGGGGCACAAAGATATTCTTGCCTCCCCCTTTTCAAAAGTTGTGATGGTTACAAAAAACCCTGTGAATCTAACTGTTGATATCTCTTCATCTCCCTTTTTTTTGATTTGATAAACTTTCCTTGAATTTCGAGAAAAGTAAAAATGCAGTAGAATTCCCGCCCCGCGAATTTAATTCGAAAGTACTATTTTCCGACTTCTTTCTCAAAACTATTTATATTACAATAATATTAATATAACTATTTGTTTATTTTCATATCGACAATACTATATTGATATTATACATATATCACATGGCTTCGAGGGTGACATACCAGAATATATGCCCCGAGGTGACAGGAAAGGCCTGGAGTGTTATGTCACCCGATGCCGAAGGCTTTCCTGTTACCGAGGGGCAAATATTCTGGTATAGTCACCCGAGAATCCATGTGGTATACGTTATGTGACATTTTTAAAATTTAAAGAAAATTTAAAATCATTCAAAATCGTTTAAATTAAATTCACACAAATAATCCAAAAATGCCTTCTTTCCGATAAGAAATACGCTGTGTTTTTTACTTTAATTTGCTTAGCAACCGACTTCATAAAACCTCGAACCCGAACTAAAATGCGTAACGTAAAAACATGTGAACGTTATCGAAAGGGTGACATAACTGTTTCCGTCGGGGGTGACATAACTGTTTCCGGCGTGACATTATACATATATCACATGGCTTCGAGGGTGACATACCAGAATATTTGCCCCGAGGTGACAGGAAAGCCCTGGAGTGTTATGTCACCCGATGCCGAAGGCAGAGGGTGACATAACACTCCAGGGCTTTCCTGTCAACGAGGGGCAAATATTCTGGTATAGTCGCCCGAGAAGCCATGTGGTATATGTTATATGACATTTTTAAAATTAAAAAAAAATTAAATCATTTAAAATCGTTGAAATTTTCACAAATAATCCAGAAATGCTTTCTTGACGTTAAGAATAACGCTCCGTTGTTTACATTTGCTTAGCAACCGACGTCATAACATCTCGAACCCGAGCAAAAATGCGTAACGTAAAAACACGCGAATGTGATCGAAATAGTGACATAACTCTTTCCGGTGAGGGTTAACATAACTGTTTCCGGCCGGACATAACTGTTTCCGGTGTGACTCGGCATTTTTCAGGGTTTATAGCGAAACTTATTACATTTGTGATATAATAGGAAAACGTATTCAAAAATGTTATATAACTGTTTCCAGTGTGACTTAGCATTTTTCAGGGTTTATAGCGAAACTTATTACATTTGTCATATAAAAAGAAAAATTAATCAAAAATGTTATATAATTAAGTATGTTGTTTTGTTTATATTTGAAAATAAATATAATTTTGAAGTCAATAAGACTTAAATAAAAAATAAATTAAATAAACAAAAGTAGTTGCCTTAAATTAAGTAAAAACCTCTAAATGCAATTCAAAATATTTGTATAAATAAGTAGTTATTACACTTTATATGTTGATAAGACGATAAAAATTAAAACATTACACGAAGTTAATAGCATAAAAAGTTTAGAGACCTTTAATCTCTCGTAACTAACCTATTCGTCTAGCGAGTTTGTAAGCATGCATTTTGGTGCTTAGAAACATTCTATAAATTCATTCAATAAATATTCTATAAATTTCTAGCGAAAACTCATCAAGGGTGTGGGGATGCCACAAATTTAAGACAACAGAAGAAGAACACACTTTAATGAGAATATTCAAGAAATTTTCTAAAGACAATTTGAATTATAAAATTACATGTGCTATATTATATTTAAAAAGCTGCAGCAAATATTTTATATGAATCTAGTTGTTTTACAATTTATATATCTAATATATATAAACGGCTCTTTCCCGTTTTTACCAAATCATGACGAGGAGCACGCAGCGGGTGTGACCGGTCAGCAGAGAATGCAAATCCCTCTATGGCACCTGATCCCACACCTGATGTTTTGAGGACCTTGTTAGCTCTGCTCCTATTTTTTGATTGTTTATTGGACTCTTAAATTTAAATGCTGTTCGTTGTATCCATATATTTCACCAAAAAAGAACAGTTACTTTATTCAAAAATTACAAATCCATGAACACAATTGAAAGAAGCATTTGAATTCAATAATTAAACAGTAGGGAAACTTTAGCTGCAATAATATAGCCCTCTCCGATTTTTTAATCTGATGTTTTCTGGAGAGGGCTGCATTCCTCAGCACCTCCGTAATGATGCAAAATATTTTTTTTTAAATACGGGCGACTGCAGGCAGAATAAATTGTTTTTACTATCAACTTACTTCTAATAAGACGAGATTTTTATTCACTGTCGACTACATAGTTACTTGTCGCTTCTACTCAGCCGCCATGACAGGTCACGCGTAACGTACGCTTGAAATTAAGAATAAATCAATAAAGCTGGTGTCGGTGTTTATAAGTGATTGTGAAGAATAGTATCAGTTGATAAATAAAACCATTCCGTGTGTTATTTTTGCGTAAACAGCGTCATTTAGACTTAAAATAAGGTATTTTCAAAGAAAGTCACTCCCTATAGATTCGTAATCTCTTTGGCTGTCCCAAAATAAAATCTGTCAAGGTCAGTAAACATGGCCGATAGATTTAAGTTGTGATGTTGACATACAAGAAAAATAAGCGATATATGGAATCTTCTGTATATTTTTAGATCGATTTATGTCTTGGATAACTACATTTTGAAAGTATGGGTAAGACATGTTAATTACATAGCCGTTTACTAACAATTTGAGCCGAAATCCGTGCGGGAGTGAATCACTCCCACTTTGCACCATTACGGAGATCCTAAGGAGTTAAAGCCCTCTCCCAAAACTCCAAACTCGATTTCTGCAAAACCATCTAAAGAGTACTGCCTCGCTGTATTTAAATATAAACCATTAACACTTTTTTACCGATATAAAAGGGTTCTTGCAAGTTTAATAAAATTAATGTACTATTCTAAATTTTAAGGCATTGACAGTTTTGAAAAAACGTAAATCCGTATTTTCTCTACAAATGTATGATAAATTTATGATAATGATTTTTTTTTTCACTGAATGATGAAAGAATCTATAGATTTTTTCTGAAAAGGTTTTGTTAAATTCAACATCAATATGCCAAATTCCTTCATTTATGCCTGATAACCAACCAAAAAATTCTAACGTACGATTTTAAATATGGTTAAATTGATATTAAGAAAATGTAAAGTAAATTAATATATATCAGTCTTTTTAAAATCTTCTTTGATTTATTGAAATTTAATACATGCATTATGACTAATCCGTAAATTGGTAAATAAAAATCTGAAATTCTTAGAGATTTTTGTAATTCAACTAACCATGACATTTATTTCACTTATATGATCGTGCACATTGCTTTAATATCAAAGAATTTTGAAACAAGAACTTCTCAAAAATTACTCTTCGCGTCATTTCTTCAAATCTACGTCCTGTTGGCTCCGTGATCGGATGGTCATGAGTTCGATTCTCGACCGTGACTGAGCTAAGTCGATAAAAACTAGTTAGCACCTGGTTCTTTGCCATTCGTTCGGCACTTTGAAGTCAAAGTTGTGAGTACTTCGGACGATACCCTAAAATCGAGGACCCGTGTCCCAATAGGCATTGGCACTGTAAAGATCCCTCACTTCTGAATGGTTCTGAGTGCCAAGTAAAGGTCAAAATTTAAAACCCTTAACCATGGTACTTCTCTTTATGTATATGAGTGCATATACGGGTGTTGCGATTTATTCTTAAAGTAATGTGTGAGAACTTTTTCCTTGGCAAAAAAATCGACATCAAGACTGTTATCTGAGCAAAATTGAGAGCCACTTAATACTAGAAAATAAAAATTAAATTGTAAATTAAAAAAAAAATATTAAATCATTTAATTTTGCCTTAAGTTTGTTTTGTAGATAAATATTTAATTTGTATTAATTATTTTATTTTTATCTAGTTCACAAAAACATGTAAAGTTGAAAAGTTTTTAAAGATGTAAACTGAAGTACATATATATAAAATCGTTTTGAAAAAAAAAATTGCAACATTGAACTGCTCCTTGTATATTTCGCTTTGATTAAAAAAATGAGTTCATTACTAATAATGATCGCTCAAGGAACTGTCACAACAAATTGTGATATAAATACTTGTATGCATAAAATACAAGAAAAATTATTTACAGACACGGAGAAAAGGTTAAAAAAGCAAGATACAAGTACACTTCAAGTATATTATAATGTGTAAGACATCAAAGTACCGTTCAACATTCAACCTAGACCAATGCCTTTTGGTAGAATCTACCAACTTTTAATAATTTTATTTTGTTGAAATTAAAACTTGTATTCGACTGATAAAAAATAATTGATTTAAAATTGGATGATATGGCTTACATTTATTGATTTTTCGCAGCTTGGATATATTTAACTAATTACCTGATTCAAAGACAGTTTTTGCCTTTGTTAATGTGAAGTAGCACCCGTCTCTCATTGCAAAATCGAAGGGTGTTTCCAGGCAAACCTCCCTGGAAAGAAAATACGCTTAACTGCATTATATAAAAATCATTTACCTAATTGTTGACAATTAGAAATAACATATAAATTTAAATTTTATAATTGAACAAGATAAAATATCAGGGAAGAAAAATTAAATAAAGCGAGCATATCAAGATAATCATCAAATCATTACAAATTATGATAGTTCAATTGGAGGCAAATTTGTCAAATGAGTAGAAATAATGAGAAAGATAATTTTATTTATTTTGTTAATGTTATTGACAGAATCAATTATGAAGTAACATGCATATATACTTGTATATTTTCAATTATAAGAGCTTGCATACACCCAGTCCACAAGTTGTTGAAATATAGGCAAGTTTTAAACCGTTTTTAATTACTTTTTCAGTACTTCTTTCACAATTGATAATTTTTGAAATGATTACAATTTCAATATTTTGAAAAAAAAAAATGTCACATATTTCAAATACTAGATCAAAAGCGTAAACCCTGGGCCCCAATCTCCAGGCGAAAAAAAATCTGTCAAGAGTTGGCTTAATTCAATATCAAATAAATTGTAGAAATCATCCCAATTAAATGGATAATACTGTCAGGTTTAAACATTGCAATTTAGAAAAAAATGTCTGTGAACTAATAAATATAATAAGAAAACATAATAACATAAAGGGCATTGCATTGGCACTGAAATAATTAGTAAGAATGCCTTTCCTTTTGTCACGAAATTTACCTCCGTTGATCATTCCATGAAAATAGCTTTAATTCTTATCAGAAAATACTTTAATATAACTGTGTCTATGGGACCCAGGATTTATTTATATTGTACAACATACTTAATATGCAATATTTTAGCTTCTGAACATTTCTTCAACCATTTTTGCATACATACCTATCAATATTGTATGCCAAAGAACCAAATTGAAAAATTACAGAAGTTAAGAACCCTGAAATTGGAAAAGAAATCTTTTAACATAAATCAACAAAATACATGTATATTATTCATTTTATTATAGTGGACAGCAAGGAAGTTTTAGTTGATCAGTCTCTTAATCTGTTTTCTTTGTTGTATTATGGTATTGCCAAAAAGACATGACTGTAGGATCAATCCTCCTATAAAAAATTACCCTCACTTTGCATTTCTAAGCCACTCTTACTTAATACTTCAATACTTTTTTTTTAAATTCCGGGGTTTTTAAATTATTTTAAATCATCTGAGATATTTCCTAGTACGTAGATGCAATGCATATTTTATCCTACAAGTGCAAATAAATCAAGTCAATTTTCTTCACAACATTACTCGAAATATATAGTACTTGATAATCAAGCAGAAGTATAATTTTAACCGAGAAATGTAAAAGACTGAGGGGTAATTAGCATGATATAACATTTTTTTTCTTAATGAAGATCTTACAAATAAACATGCTATATTTTCAAGATAGTCCCTTTCGTGGAATAGTTGTAGTTTTAGGGGTTTTTTTAAGTGGTAAAATAGTAAGCAAGCTATTCGGGCAGCATTTTATTTCCTTTGCATTTTATTTAAAAAATCTACTTATTTAGCTAAAGAATTGGAGCTCTCTGGTTGAGAAATTTCGGATAAACAATCCAGATAAATACAGATGAATCATCATAAATTAAATTATTCGATTAACAGCAATTCTTTATGTAATATTCCACTTCAACTACTTTAGGTGTTTTCCCAAACTTATTCGCTAGACATGTCATCAGTTAAATATTTACTGATAAGTCAATGTTATAGGGATTTCAACAGCCTCGTTTACAAAAAGGCATTTTTTTATTTTTTAGCGTTGTCATTTTGCTAGAAATTATAATCTAAAATTGGGTCGTATTTTGGCTGCTTTGTTTCATAAGTTGACTATAGAGAAAGTTCCGTCTACCTGTACAATACAAGAGCTCAAGGCGGGTATTATCGGTCAACAGGGGATGCTTATTCATCTTAGGCCATTTCCAGGGGTCTGTGTTTTATGCCCTTTTTAATATTTGAGTTGCGTATTGATTTTATGAGATCCAACACTTCATTATCTTTACTTTTTATTTACTGCTTGCATATGAAGCTTTCTGGTTTGTCTGTCGAAGTTCTCATCGAGAGCGCTTATAACTCTGCAGCTTATCCGGATCGTGACATGAAATAAGTATAAAGTCTGGTCTAGCAAAATTTTTACTGATTATTTGGACAAAAGCAAATCTATTTGTGCCTCAATAGCAATTATTTATGCTGCGTATAGCAATATTTGTTTTGGTGTGTTTTTTTCTTATCCTCATTTTCATTAAATACTGTATAAGTTGACACTTTAGCGAGACGCAAATTAAGCGGTGTGTCCTTAACAAGTCTACGTTTTCGTGAATGTTGTAGGATAACAACCAAGGTCGAGAAATGTTGTTTGAAAGATAAAAGACGAAGAGATATCCTTCATCATTCACGACAACAAAGACTTTATCTTTATTCTACTAAGAGCTTTATAATAAGGCTGATCGTTTCCCGTACAGAGAAACGAATTAGGTCACAATATATATCGATTACGCTGTTCCATTTAACACTAGTGGGTTTTGTTTCTTTTCCCGAGAATGGAAGACAGACGTTTTAAGCTTCCCTGCATTAACCTTTTTTTATATATTATGAAGGTCGGGTTTCAACAAGGCTTTTTTTTTAACCCATGATGAAGTTCAAATCATTTCCTTTAGTTTAGTCATGTAATGTTTCCTCTGTCATATTTTATAGTTTATTTGCAAAAGCAATCTATATTAGTCACGTGACCAAGGGGTATCTACAGAGTCCCTTTAAAAGCCTCTATGAGGGTTATGAAAATTTATTACATGTATGGAATTTTTTTTGTTGTATAAACCAAAGAAAGATTAACAATACGATATCATCAGGAAACATAGAATAGGGCTGAATGAACACAAAAGACAAACTGATGCATTCTTTTTCTAAATAGAACTGTAATTGTAGTTATAAAATTTAATGGAAATTATGTATGCTTTTACATATTTGCTATGTATAATAATATTAAAAGGTATGAAAAACAATCAGTTATATAAAAAAAAACAAAACCTTTGCTCAAATGATCAGTGACCTTATCTATACTTTTAAAAGCCAAAACAACTGCGACAAGAATTTGTTACAGACAGACACACAGACAGCTAGACAGACAGGCAGATACACAAGGGCCAAAAATATAATTCCTCTACCTCAGAGCAGGGATATAATAAATCTCTTTGATTAAATGTACATGTGTATCAGTCACTTTAAATGTTTGAATAAATTAATCACAGCTCAACAGATTGCAAAATTAGCAAATTAAAGTAATCAGTATGTAAGTGTTAAGTTGCATTGCGAAGTACAACCATATCTCAGAATAATGTTTCTGAAAATATGAGTAATCAATTATCAAAGTATGCTTTTGATTCAGAATGGAAAACCTGGTGAACTAGGATACATGTAAACATTATAACCCTCCGAGATTTTCCCGTTTACAAAATGTAAAAATGGTTGAGGGCACCATACTATTATTGTTAATTCCAATATTATCTAAACTTTTTTTTCTTGCAAAAAAATACACAGCAGGAGATGAGGAATGTTGAAAAAAATGAAAGTAAGTTTAAAATTGTTGGTTATACCATTTAATTTTTTGCAAAATACATGGGCCAACACAGCCTTATTGAAACCTTTCCTTATTTGTGTCATAAATTTATTTTATTTAAATGTACAACGACAAAATCAGGTTTCTCTTTGCTTTATTACTAAACCCAAAAACTGGAACAGTCCTGCTTAGCTACAAAAACCTATATTAGCCAGCTTCTTTATGCAATGTACAGTACAGTGTCTAGGCTTTGAAAGACGACACATCGATGCAGTCGAAACTAGTGCTAATTGTAACGGGGACCGTTACAGATGTTCCCCAAACGCTCCCCAACTCCCTTTTGGTGCCATATTCCCTGTAAGCTTCATTAAATAAGACAAACTCGATGCATTTGAGACTTTAATAACGTTTACCCAGAAGTGTACAAAGTTCATTCAAATTTTAGCATTGCACGCGTGTGCATGTGAATGCATGTGCGTAATGACCATATCATCTTGTCTACACAATCTATATATTTAAATATACTAAATATTTAAGTATTTAATCCAAAAGTATTAAAAAGATACGCTCATTCAAGTGTTTTTTTGATTTTGCTCATTTCACATGCACGCAAGTGCACACATGAGCATGGTAACCATATCTTCTTGTAGATGTCCGTTACATCTATCTATGTTCTAAATCTCACCCCGTTTGGTTGAAAACGAAGGGAGTTATAGCTGTTAAAGTTTCAGCCAATCAGATTGCAGCGCACGAACATGCACGTGTGTGCATGTGCATGGTGACCATATTTTCTTGTAGTAGTCCAGTATATCTATCTATGTTCCAAATCCCATCCTGTTTGGTTGAAAATCAAGGGAGTTATAGCTATTTAAAGTTTAAGCCAATCAGATTGCAGCGCACATGCATGCACGTGTTTTCATGATAATTGCTATATATCATGTTGTAGGATATACTAATGCATGGCTATTTTCAAAATTTCAAAGGATTTCGTCGAAAAACAAGAAAGATATTGAGACTTTAGTTTCAGCCAATCAGAACGAAGCGCACGTGCATGCGCGTGAGATCGTGCTATTTTGACCATGTCATATTGTCTATGCTTCTAATATATCCTTATATTATAAGTTTCAAAGCATTTCATCAAAAATTATAAAAGTTACGCCTATATCAATTAAATCGGTCATTTCACATGTTGCACGTGCACGCTCTTGCAAGCACGTGCGCGCAAAATGACCTTCGTTCCGCAAATCTACATAACATGTCTACTGACCCTAAAAACATTTCACCTTAGTCGGATGTATAGTTTACGAGATCATTCCCGGACAAAAAAGTACCCAGGAAGAAGAAGAAAAATAACTAGTGCTAATTGTAACGGGAACCGTTACAGATGTTCCCCAAACGCTCCCCAACTCCCTTTTGGTGCCATATTCCCTGTAAGCCTTATTAAATAAGACAACATCTTGTCTACACTGTTTTACTCATTTGCACGTGCACGCACGTGCATGATGACCATACCTTCTTGTAGGAGTCCATTATGTCTATCTATGTTCTTAATCCCATCTTGTTTGATTGAAAAACAAGGGAGTTATAGCCATTTAAAGTTTAAACCAATCAGATTGCAGCGCACGTGCATGCGCGTATTTTCATGAAAATTATTATATATCATATTGTAAGTCATCTTAAAGTATGCTTATGTTTTAAATTTCAAAGCATTTGTAAAAAAAACAGAAAAGATATTGAGATTTTTGTTTCAGCCAATCAGAGCAAAGCGCACGTGCACGCACGTGCATGCATGTGAATGGTGACCATACCATCCTGTAGGAGTCCTTTATGTCTATCTATGTTGTAAATCCCATGCTGTTTGCTTGAAAACTAAGGGAGTTATACTCATTTAAAGTTTCAGCCAATCAGATAGCAGCGCACGCGCATGCGCGTGATTTCATGAAAAATTTTATATATCATATTGTAGTACATCCTAATGCATGTCTATGTTATAAATTTCAAAGCATTTCATCATAAAACAAAAAAGATATTGAGATTTCTGTTTCAGCCAATCAGAGCAAAGCGCACGTGCATGCGCGTGAGTTCATGCAAATTTGACCATGTCATCTTATCTACACAACTTATATATCTTTATGTAATGAGTTTCTAAACATTTTATCAAGAAATATAAAAGTTACAACCATATTAAATATATCAGTCATTTTACTCATTGCACGCGCCCGCACGTGCATGCGAATGCGCGCAAAATGACCTTCGTTCGGCACATCTACACAACATGCCTACTAACCCTAAAAAGGTTTTAACTTAGTTTGGTGAACAGTTTCTGAGAACACTTCCGGACAAAA